ATGTGGCTGAGCTTTCCCGTCATCTTCAGCCAGCTTAGTGCTCTCGGTGAACCTCTGCTGCCTGCCTTGAGGGGAGGCGGCAGGGCTGAGGGGAAGAGGGACAAGGGGAGGCGAGGGGAGGGGAGGTGGTGTGTGAGGATCGGGAAGGGCATGGCCAGGGCGGGAAAAGGAGGCTTCCACCTTCCTTGGCTATTGCATCTGGAAACGGAGCGGGCAGCTAACAACCCCCCAACGTTTTGCAGATTCCCATGAAAAGATCTGCCGCTACATTGCCAGAGAAAGCGAGTTGGTGGTTGTGTCTGTTGGGTGAGTTATGTCAGTACTACCCTATGGAAGTCTTTTTGCTTTTTTTCACTTCTCAGCACCAGTGTTGCATGTCTTGTGGGAACACTGCTCCTCAGTATACCATTTCCCCAGGACCCCACATGGTCAGACAGACTTTCAAGGGGACTATTTTAATTTCTCCCCCCCCCCAATCTGCTAACGCAGGGAGAGTGCAAACAGACCCCAAAGTAAGGTTCATGTATCTCACAACACGGAGCTATGCTGGCACCACACAAAAAGAAGGAATGCTTTCCAGAAGAGTTTTCTTGCATGTTGAGAACTGACTAATAAACCAACTTGGAAGGTGGTGATACAGTGATCTGTTTAATTAGATGTAATCACCCTGTAAACTTCAAGGAGTTTTCTAACAGTAAGAATCAGATGCTAATATATTTTAATACTAATAATACAGAAAATTATAACTCTGTCCCAGTTATTTAAATAAAAATAATTCTCAAGAGGAAGTATCCTAAGTAAAGGTGAGGTGCAGACTGATTAAATTTCTTCATCCACAAGCCAGATGCAGTCTACACCAAAAGAGTAAAATGAACTTGTATCACTCAAGTTCTGATCAGTGCTGTTCTCAGAAGAAGATCCCAACTATGATACGTCCTTGCAACTTCATCCTACTGGCTATCATTTATCTGTGATAACTCACTGGACAAATACCTGTTTAGCAGATAATGACACCGGGTTTTTGTGCTGAAGGAAAAAAACTCCAAACAACACAGGGAAAGCCAAGGTGCTGTAGGAAATTTGCATTTACAGTTACGACATTTCCTTCTCTTACTTTTGTTGTCTCTTCCTGTGTACTAGGTATCGTTTAGCTCCTGAACACAAATACCCCGCTGCGTATGAAGACTGCCTTAATGCCACCATACACTTCATGAAGAATATAGAGCACTATGGGGTGGATCCTGCCCGTATAATTATCTGCGGGGACAGTGCTGGCGGCAATCTGGCAGCTGCTGTTAGCCAGACCCTTGCAGGTAGATCAGACCTCCCCAGACTACGCGCTCAGATCTTGATCTACCCGGGCCTTCAGGCACTGGACTTCAATTTACCATCCTATCAACAGAATCGGGGAGTCCCTCTCTTATTCCGAGAACGTGCCGCCTTCTTTGCTTTGCAGTACCTAAATGGGGATGCATTGCGTATGCAAGAGGTCTTGGAGGGCTCTCATATTCCTCCAGATATGAGGCTGAAGTACAGGAAGTGGGTGAGTCCAGATAACATCCCTGAAAAATTTAAGGTCAGAGGCTACAAACCACACAAGCCCCACGAATTCAAGGCTGAAGTTTATGAGACAGTGAAAAGACTTTGTGAGCCCGACCCGTGTCCACTGTTAGCTGAAGATGCTGTTATTCACCAGCTGCCCGAGTCTTTCATCTTGACTTGTGAGTATGATGTGCTAAGAGACGACGGCTTGCTTTACAAGAAGAGATTGGAGGACAACGGTGTTCGAGTGACCTGGTACCACCTTGAGGATGGATTCCATGGAATTATAAGCTTGTTTGATTATTGTGGTTTGTCATTTCCAGCTGGGAAAAGGGGATTGGACAGAATTGTTAAATTCATAAAAGGTCTGTAAAAGCAACTTTCCCTCTTTATGCTTCTCCTAGTAATATCTCCGTTTAGGCTGCCAAACCTCAGGTAGTAGTTGTCAGCAAAAATATGATACCCTTTGATGTGTAAAATACCAATTTTTATATTCATGAACTTCAAATACTGTCTGAACACTGGTCTTTGTCCTCATGAGACTACTGACAGTTAAGTCTCTACAGTTTTAATATTTTCCACATGCTGTGTTTCAATCCCTTTTCTTTCAAATCAGCATCTAATTGATTCCTTGTATTTAATTACTGGATGATTTACTTCTATGTAAATAATGTCTGTGGAATGATTTGGATTAAATAACTCCTGTGAATTACAGTCAGGATCTTTGTGATGTCCATTTGATAAGCTCCAAAGCATGACCTTATTTTATTTAGGTAAAAAGTACAAGGTAGGTACGTAGTGAGCTGGAGGGAAGAGTTAGAGGAAAGCTCTGGAAAAACAGGCAGAGATCAAGGTGTCAGTGGGGAGATTCAACATATATTCAGTGGACATGGCAGAGCCACATCTGCAAGAGTAGCAGTACGAGGCTTGAGTTAATTGGGGACACCTTGCTGGAGGCAAGTAAGGGCTGCCCTGATTTGGAAATAACCGTAGCTCTACAAACTCCTATTTACTCTTGGGATGTCCCCATTATGCAGGCTGAAGCTCAGGGCAAGAGATACTGGTTGAGAGGGAACACTTACGTCAGGTTTTAGAGAGACAGTAAGGATCAGTGAACTGGGCTCTTGATCTGTATACTGGAAGGTTATAGCGTAAAGAGATAGAAAATATGAACCAAAATGTTTTCACATTCTTTAAAAAAGTTTTATTTTTTTAGAATTTGTGCTGTGATGTTTCTCCGTGTTTTGAGTTTTCTTTACAGGACAAGGCAGTGTATTCCTTGACATGATGCTTCATTACACCCTGCTGATGAAAGCAAGGAAAAACAGTAGTGAGCATACTCAAAATAGTGAGACTGAGGAAATGAAAATCCTAAGACTGAGGAAGTCAGAAATTTTTACAAAAACAAATGCTGTCTTCCATTTAGATTCCACAATGCAAAGGGAGCCCTTCCTTTAGCTTCCTGCAGGCCATCTTTAGTCAAAGAATCCCTGAATTTAAGGACAAACGACATACTCCCGGCGATTTGAAGATGAAGCCGTCAGGAACGCAGGTGCCCTGCAACCCACTGGCGCTGCAGATTTCCCGGCTCTCTTGAAACGGCAGTTCCGACCACGAAGCCTGAACTTCAACCTCTCCGCAGGACGCGGCGATGAGCGCCTTTACTGAGCGCCCCCGATGCTGCGTGCACAGGTCACGCACTGCCTCCTTGAACCGAGATTACACCGCGCCTCACGCCGGCAGCGCGGCCTCCCCCCGGTGCTCGCTGGCCGCCCGCACCATGACCCCGGC